TGATCACTGACTGTTTTAGGAGCTTTTTGAGATTAAATAGAAGAAAATACAAAACATTAAACATGTTAACAACACAAAAGCCATATTAAACGCAGACTACTTTAGGCCCGGATTCGTCACATCATCACTTAATGATGATCACTTAAAATGGAATATAACAGAATAACAATGGTATGCTGGCCTCAGCTTCTTTTCAAGTTCCTAATCTTACATGTTTCATCTTCCTTAAGAACTTCGTTGACTGGTATTTATGTGTCTCTAGTATACCCCAACTGAAAGGATCTGTACAATGAGAGGGATTTGTTCTTGAAACTTCTCCATGTTACTGTTTTTTTTTGTGTGTGTGTGATGTGATGATGTGATGAATACCAAACATCTTATTAACATTAAGACCTGTAATTAAAGGAGAAGGAAGTGATTGTTATGTTGCATCAAAGTAATATAAAGAATTAGCAGAAAAAATGCATAACCAAGAAAACTTTGTTAAAACTTTGTAAAAATTTTACACAAACCTGGACCCATACTTTATGTGTGTCCTACACATGGTAATCACGGGCATGCTTTTACAGAGTGGAGAATATATTTTTATATATACCAAAAAATGTATTAACATTGATCAAAATGACTTATTGTGATAGGGGGAAAAAAATCTTATTTAAGTGTTCAAGAGAAGTTGATTTTAAGATGAACTTAATAGGGAAAATCATCATAGTGTAAAGAGTAAACATTTTTAACATAGTGGGTTGCAAATAGGCAACAAATACTTTATAAATGTATAAATTGTGTTTTTGTTGAATGTAGTAAAATATTATAAAGTTAAAAAAGCATGCAAATATCTTGTATATGTAATATTTTTGTACTACAGCTGGAACACAAGTTTTGGTTGTCCCTCTGCAGTAACGCTGGCAGTTAGCATTAATAATATCTTGCAGAGTACAGGGATTTCTTTCTTGTTGAAATAATGTTTACTCTGTTTTTTCTGTTTTCCTTTGTTAAAATTTTCCCAAACATACCACAACATGTGCATGAGATTGCTCTGTATTTAGTAATACTACACAGTGTCTACTGAAAATAAAATGTAGATGAATAAAACAAATGAAACATGTAAATATCATTATGTCTGCATTTCAGATGTCTCCAATATTAGAAAAAAAGGTGTGTTTGTTTCTTCCACCAAGAGCACATATCAGTGCATCAGAGCACTTCACCAGCCATCTTAATATTTTCAAATGAATTGTCAAGCGCAGCACAAGACTTCGCGCAACACTAAATGTATCGTCTCCTTTCTTCCCTGGGTTTCTTCAGGTCAGAGAAAATTCTCTTTTATTACAAGGCAAACAGTTGTTGGTTTCCTTTATCAAACAGCTCTTTGGAGAGAAAGAGAGAGAGAGCATTGTGCAGATATTTAACCTTTTTATATAGTCTTACAATTGGGGCTCTCAAGGCCTTTCATTTGTGAAGATCCTGTGGAAAAATCAGGGAGCTTGGACTCATTTCACTACCGGTACAGTATATTTATATTTCAGCTCCAATCAAAGCTAGCCAATATGCCATCACTATGTATTTTCCCCTCTGAGCCCTGCCTCCCCACTATAATTTCCACCGACATTTTGTGTGCAAATGCAGTAATAGACACATTTATCACATCAAAAGAGATTCAATTTTCTTTTCAATCATCCACCGGTATGAATAGCGCCACATCCTCTGTGGCCAACAATGAAGGGCCATTACCGTGAGCCAAAGGATGGCTTCGCCTTCTCTATGCATTCAAGGGGAAAAGTGTGTCAAACTGTTTTCCAACGCCAACATTTGTTCTAGGCAAATGGAGACAGCTTTCAGACAGGTTAGTATCCAATTTTATTGTCAGACAAATGTCATTTTTGTTTGGGGCCATGGTAATCACTGGGCTCAGACACCGGTGTTCCTCTGCGGTAAAGCCAGCAGTTAGTCCATTTAATACTCTAACTCTCATGTCAGTAGCAGATTGCCAAGTCCAGACATGACACCCGCTGTCTCTTCATTATGTGAAGAGGGTGACATGCAGAATTCATGCCTCAGTCCTCGGGGGGAGGAGGGTGATGGGCTAATTGCCTAAGACATTGTTGACTTTGCAAGTGCAGTTAATTGTTGTCAAATCTTGCTGACAAATCAGAGATGTCGACGGGACACTTTATGTTAAGTTTTCTTTGCAGTAGCATGTATATATGCAGGAGCGTTGCGCTTGCAGACATACATAGATTTGTTGATTTTTACTGCTGTACTTTGGACCTTCTCTAAATGTTGCTGCAGTTTTGTGAAGTTAAAAATCACCACTGCTGTCAGCACCACATAATAGGTGCTGCAGCTTTTTTTTATAGTTTTGGGGAGTTTTGCCTTTAAATCACTAATACTGCATAGTTTCCATTTTAAAGATGAAACTTTAATTTTAGGTTAGTTTACTGACCACATCCTAATCTATTCAGGAACACATCATGCATTCACAGTATCAGACTTTATCCAGGGGAGAATAATAAAGTCCCGTCTTAGTTTAATTTCCTGATATATTTGAGTGAAAATGTCCTTCTTGTTTTTACTCATTGTTTTTTAACCAAAAATAGTCCAGACAGCACACAAAAATAAGGTTTGCTATTCTCACACTTTCTATATTTCTGTAAATAAATACAGAAATCGATTTGGAAGTTGTGTCAAAGGTTGCTTGCGTGTTTTAGCCAACAGCTGGATAGCTAATAGATTGCTTTGTTATTTAAGGACTATACAAGTCTGACCACTACTCTACTGAAACTATTCTATTTAATGTATTTCATGTGCTTAATGTCTTCAAATGCATTACTTTTGCCTTAATTTGACCAAATAAGTGCATCCACACTCCGTCCCTTTTCACAGAAAGTGTCTCTGCTGTATTTTCTGTCATCTCCTGCCATACCTTATACACGCTCCATCGTTGCCAAACCACCCAAGCCGCAGCTGATGAGGTCATTCATGCAGCTAGTACCGGTCCCTGAAAGCTTTGCTTAATCTGATATCATTGGCAGCAAGATACTTAACCAGCTCCATTTCTGGCCACACTATTTTGGGGTGCTCACCATCCAACAATGCTGTCTTGTCTCAGCCTTCGTGGATCCTTAGATCTACTCGTAAAGCTAAATTATTCTCAGTTTATACCTTTGAAGT